TAAGAAGTATAATGGCTTGACTCTGCTTAACAGTGAGTCAAACAAGACAAGCTGAGAGGAAACTCGGACATAGTGATCCGGTGACAACAGAATGGAATGGTCATCGCTAACGGATAAAAGTTACTCAAGGGATAACAGATTAATCAGCCCTTATAGTCCGAATAGAGGGGCTGGATTGATACCTCGATGTAGAAACGTCGGGCTTAATAGTGATATTCAAGCGTGAAATGGGTGAATTGTCAAGAAAGGAATGAGAATTTCAACTTGCAGCGAAGTGCACTTCTGCAGAGTCCCCGATTTTGGAGTGTAAACGTTCAACGACTAGATGGTGAGTAATGCAAACAATAATCCGTCCACGAGCGCCCATCAACTTTTTTTTTAATTTAGCATCGCACGCGGGGGGTTGTAATCATGCGCGGTGGTCGACCCGGGTGTTATAAGATAAAAAACTTCATTCACAAAATTATTGATAGCGCGGAGCGAACAAACACCCTGCGGGGAGTATGGTTTGCTCTGTAAAACCACACCTCTATGTATGCAAATAATTTACTTGGTTCACATAGTATAACGGTGTTTATTGTGGTTGCCCCCCTTCGCTTGACATTCCCATGTAAAGCGAAGGGTGGCGGTTGTCGTCGAAAGTAAGATAATAAGAATGAAAAACAATAATAATTTTAAGGACGGGTACCATCTTAATAGTAAGTACTGGCAAGATTATAAAAAAACCATTGGTGGTTTACCACCATTGTTGTATAATATAGCAATAGGGTGTATGTTAGGGGATGCTTGTATGTATAGAGTAAGTAAAGATGCAAAAATAAAATTTGAACAAGGTTATATGCATAAGGATTATCTATATCATTTATTTGATATATTTAAAAATTATACTTTCCATGATTCACCTTATTTTCGATATGATAAAACGGGGCTTAGAAAGGGTTTAATAAAGAGTTATTCATTTAGAACTTTTACTCATCCTACGTTTAATCCGATTTGGGATCTATTTATAGAAAAAGGTAAAAAAATAATTAGACCCGGTTTAATAATGAGGCCAACCATCTAACAGCGGAAGCTAGCCTATTGAATAATGGATGACGGGTCATTACAAAATGATAAGAAAACTATGATACTGCATACTCAATCATATACAAATAATGAAGTAAATAACTTAAGTTTAGAGTTAAATGAAAAATTTCAATTGAATTCAAAAGTAATACCTCATAAAACAAAATATTGGGTGATTTTAATCCCAAATAAGGATTATGAAGTTTTATTAAAGTTGGTTGAACAGCATATTCATCCTTCAATGGGATACAAATTAAATAAATAATAAAAGTTGAAGACATAG